CTATTTTATTAATAAAAGCTTCTTCTGTTTCTTACTTGTATTATTTGTTGTGTTCAGTATTGAATCTAGTATTCTGTTAAAGTCTCTCATTATAATATAATAAGAATTTCTTTTTCTGTGCAAACATCTTATATCATAACTCTTTGTATATCTTTTTGTATGTTTCTGTTATTCAGAGACAAATATATAATTTAACATATAATTGCTGTTTTTTGAATATGAATATTGCTTTAAATATGCATTTGGTTTTTTTATCTTTGTAATATGCTTGCTCTATTTACTGTCTACTAATACACCTACTTCTAAGCCTTTATGCTTATTTTACTTTGCACTTAACAAATAATCACTATAACTTTCTTTTTATATTTCTATAAATTTTGCTTCTTTTTTCTTTATATTGGTCTTTGTTATTTCTACTATATTGAGTTTTTGTTCTTTGCAGTAGTCTAGTAACTTTTAAAGTTTGTAACTATTTTCTTTGATGTTATTTATATTGTATACTCCTAATCTTATTACTTTGTATCATTTTATTTCTTCAACAACCTTTCTTTTTTTTGTAGATTCTTTCTTTTTTGACATTGTTTCTATTAAGATAAACCCTTTCTCTGTAGGTATGTTCATAAAAACAACTGTGGCAACTGTCTTAGAAGTAGTTGGGAGCAGTTAACAACTCCTTACATAACTTTTTTCTAACCTCTTTTACTAATTTCTGAAGAATTTCTTCAATTGCTTCTTTTTCATTATTAACTTTTTAGTCTTGCTTCTTCTTTATATTAATCTCTTTGTTTCTCTTCTTTTCTTTATTTCAAGAACTTATAGTACTTCAATTTTCATTACTGTTTCTTTCTCTTACTGTTTATTCTAGATGTTCTTGCATTCTTCTTCTGGAGTTTCTATTAGCTATTCTATTTCTAGTATTTTGGTTTACTTTGTTTTTATGACAACTTTCAGTTTTTTATTCTAGGCTATAGTTAAAATACTTTATTTTTCTACTTATTGCTCTTTCTTTGTCTTTTTTATTTTTGAATTCAACTATAATCTAGCTTTTTTGGTTTCTATTCTTGTTTAAAAAAATATGTATTGCTTTTGTATTAATATTTTTCAACTGTCTTAGCAAGAGTCTTTCTTTTATAAAACTAGACAATTTCTTAATTCTAACATAAATTTTTCTTTTTTCTTTTAACTCTAAACTATCACTTTTTATTATTGTTATTCTTGCTAAGTGACTACTTCTTAATGGTAGTACTTAAATTCTTTTTACTTTTTCTTTAAAATCTTGATTTATTGTACTTTATTTTATTTCTGCTCAGGTTTTTTTATTCATACTGTGTTGTATATATATTTCATTAGGTTTTTCTATTTTTTTGATCAATTCTGCTACCTGTTTTGCAGTAATGTTATATAGAAGATTACAAATTGTTACTACACTTTTTCTTTTATAGGTTTGTAAGGCTTTTTTCTTTTATACCTTTGAGCTTCATGTTTTTCTTCTCTTCTGTTTTTTCTAATTTTATAGTCTCTATTTCTTCACTTATCTCTTTTTAGATATTTTCTTATCATTATCTTTTTCTTCTTTCTTGTTTATATTTTTTTGCTTATACATATACTTCTCTTCCTTTTCTATGCTATTATAATTTTTTTCTTTAAGTTGTTAATAAAACTTAGTATTTGTTGCTTTAGTTTCTTATTTTTATAATCAGTTGTCTCTGTTTTTGACAGAGTTAGTGCAAGCTTTTTGCTTAACACTTTCTTAGCTGTTCTTTTTAACAGACTTAAGATATTAGCTTTGTTTATTTTTTTTTTTTTATCAATTGTTTCTTGGTATTCTTCTTAGTTGTATACTTCTATTGGCTGTCTAACAATATATATTGTTCCTAGTTTTGCTATAGCTAAGAGCTTTACAATTACTTTATCTTGTTTTAAATAAAGATATTTAGTTCATTTAGAGCTTCTATAATTTCATTCTCCTGTTATTCAAATAACTCCCTGTATTTTTCTAGATATCCCATAATAATCTGATTATCTAATATTACTTGTGTACCTTATATAAAATATATATCTGTTTGTTTATATTACTATAGTGTTATTATATATTATTATCTGTTACCTTTTAGTGCTTTGTTTATTTTATTAATATTTATCTATGCAGATATTGTTGTTATTTTGTTTTGATAATCTGCAATACTAGGTTTTTATAAAAAGCCAACTTTTTGGGTTTATAAAAGCAAAATTTTGTTATCTCTTTGCTATACTTAGTGTCTTTACTTGTTTTTTTTAGTATTTATCTATTTAAAATGTTGCTAGTTGTGATGGTCTTGTTTTTTCTCTTCTCTTTGTATTTGGTACAGACTTTTGTATTATAGTTTTGTTATAATGTTTTTTTGTTTTTTCTATTTGTTATAAAAAATGAGAATCAATAAGAAAACTTGATTATTTGTATTGTTTTGAATTACTATAGTTTGAATTAATAAACTGAAATTGTTTTTTATAACTAGTTTATTAATTGTTATAAAATTAATAATTAAATTGGGATAGAAATCTTTAAGAATTAATTTTGAAAAATCTAAGTTTTAGATTTTGGATATTATAAGTGTAGATAAAGAAAACTTTTCTAAAATAGAATATTATTGACTAGTCTAAAAGATGATCTTGTTAGGTTATGATTTGTGAGTTCATTTTAGAATTATAAATAAAATTAATAAAAAAAATATTTAAAGTTATAAATAATTTAGAACAAAGATAAAAGAAAAAGTTTTTAAATAATTTATTTATAAATAAAGTGTATTATAATATAAATAATAAGAAAAAATAAGTAAAAAATATAAAAATTAAATGAAAAAATTAGATTGTTAATAAATTTTTAAAAAAATAATAAATTTTCCAATTTTTTAAAAAAATTTAAAGAAATATTAGATATTTGAATATATTAAAAATTAATAAAAAATGAAATTTCTAAAATAATTTAATAAATTTTTGAAAATTGATTAACAAAATTTTAAATAATATTTGAATAAGAGTTCAAAGAGAAATATAGATAACTTGATGAACTCTGGTTTATTAAAGATAAAATTTATATTGAAATGATTATTTTAGTAGATTAAATAATTTTGTTTAATAAGAGAAGATAAATTTGTTTAGTAAAATTAGATAGAAATTGAGAAAGTATATTTTTTAAAAAATGTGAATTTGTATATAATATAATAATTAGAATTTGATAAAATTAATATAATTGGAAGCAGAAAGTTTAGTATACTTAGTTTACTTAAAATTAAAAAAGTATAATTAAATATAAATTAAAGAAAATTAAAAAGAGTATTAATAAAGATAATTTTATTAAAATATTAAAGTTTGTAGTATTGAGAGATTAGATGTAAATAAATTATTGTTTTTAGAACAAAAAGTTGTGAATAAGAAATTTAATTAGAAATTTAAAGACTGTTAGTTTAGTAAAATATTAAAAAAATTTGAATTGTTTGTCAGAAAAAAGTTGATTTTAGTGATCTATAAAGAGAGTTAGGTAAAAAAAATAAAAAAATAAATAAATTTATATGCACTTAAATAAGTTATAAAAACTTAATAAATCAATTTTTATAAAAATTTTAAAAATAACTTAACCTAGCTTTTAATTTTATTTTCAAAAAATTATATATATAAGTAACATAAATATTTTATAAATTTTTTAAAAGAATTCATTTGAGTAATAAGTATACTTAAATTTTTTTAGAGTTTTATAAATTTAAACACAATTAGAATATAACAACTAATTTATTAAGTTTATATGAACTAGGTTTTGTTTTTTTTGTTTTTATATTCAAATATTAAGAGTTTTGATTCTAATTATTTAATTTATCTGTGAAATATTTGTTATAAAAATTTGGTAATAAATGGTTAGCTTTGTAGTAAAAGAAGAATAATTTAAAAACGTAATAGATCTAAGCTGAAAGATTTATCTAACTTTATAAAGCTAACTCTAATGATCCAAAAGAATTACTTTAAAGCAATTGTTCTCTAGATGAATTAAAACTTGTGAACAATATCAGATTAATTTTTTGAAAAATCTTTTGAATATAGAATTTAATTGTTATAATGATCTATTTATGGGCAAGCTACATTTGATTGATCCAGTTAATATTTTAATTCTATCAATAATTTTCTAGAATTAAATTGAGTTCTTAACTATTAAACTAACCAATTGCAACTATATAGATCATAGCCCAAAGGTTACTTTATAGCAAAGATTTGAAATTGACCTTGGATTCAACACATCAATTTTAACTATTTATTTCGCGTGGAATACATTCATTTATACAGTGTACTATATAATGTGCGCGCCATTTCGGGACGCGCATGGGCGTTATTTTGAAGCCAAATATACTATTTTCAGGGAATGTAATTTTCGAAATAACATGTGCGTTATTTCGTGGTAATACGATATGCGTTTATAGAGGGATTTGACTGTACTTTGTTAATAAAGAATAATCAGTCTAGTAATTCATTGTAGGGTGTGTAGTGAAGCAAACTATACATCCCGACGATCTACTAAAAAAAAGCGACTTGTATCTATAAATTATAATTTTATACAATGGTTCAATTTAATTATTGTGAATTTTTATACAATTACAAAATTTTAGATTTATTATTATATAATAGATCAGATCAATGAAGTATCTAAAAATACGCAGTGAATTAATAAATTAAAATGTTTTTGATTTTCATGTGAATGCAACTATCAAAAATTAATTCTATCGTAGCATGTTATGAATTTACTGAGTTCTAAATTAAAGCGTTCGATAGTAGTGGCTAAGTCTATTAGATCGGTAATTTATAAAAGAGATGGTAGATACAGTAGATGACTAATCACTTAATTATAGTTACTAAATTAGTGATATATAATATTTGTTGTAGTTGCAAAATTAATGGTTATAACAATCGTGAAAGTTAAAGTTCCTAGAAGTTGTAGCTATAGCACATAAATTAGTCATTATTAATTAGGTCACCTTCTACTCTGCAGTGGTGGTCGGTACAGGATTATTGTCTAAGATCACTGTGGTAGTAGGATCAGGATTATTGTTTGGGTCCACCACCTGACCTGTGGTAGTAGGTGCAGGATTATTGTTTGGGTCCACCACCTGACCTGTGGTAGTAGGTGCAGGATTATTGTTTGGGTCCACCACCTGACCTGTGGTAGTAGGTGCAGGATTACCGTTATCGCTGTTTCCAGTGGTGGTCGGTACAGGATTATTGTCTAAGATCACCGAGGTAGTAGGATCAGGATTAACATTGTTGTTATTAGCAGCGATAATAGCGTTGGGTACTATGGCTGCTTCAGTAGTGGTAGTTGCGTCTTCTACAGTCGTTGCTTGTTCAGTAATGGTAGCTTCTGCAGTCGTTGCTTGTTCAGTAGTGGTAGCCTCTACAATGGTGGTAGCTTCCGCAGTGGTGGTAGCTTCAACAGCAGTGGTGGCAGCTTCTTCTGTAGTGGTAGCTTCCACAGTGGTGGTAGCTTCTACAGTCGTTGCTTGTTCAGTAGTGGTGGGTTCTACTGTTGCCTGTTCAGTGGTTGTAGCCTCTACTGTTGTTGCTTCTGTGGTCGTTGCTTGTTCAGTGGTGGTGGCTTCTACTGTTGTTGCTTGTTCAGTAGTGGTAGCTTCTACAGTCGTTGCTTCTTCAGTGGTGGTAGCTTCTACGGTCGTTGCTTGTTCAGTGGTGGTAGCTTCTGCAGTCGTTGCTTGTTCAGTGGTGGTAGCTTCTACGGTCGTTGCTTGTTCAGTAGTGGTAGCTTCCACAGTGGTGGTTGCTTCTACCGTGGTGGTTGCTTCTTCTGTAGTGGTAGCTTCTACAGTCGTTGCTTGTTCAGTAGTGGTGGCTTCTACTGTTGCCTGTTCAGTGGTAGTAGCCTCTACTGTTGTTGCTTCTGTGGTCGTTGCTTGTTCAGTAGTTGTAGCTTCTGCAGTTGTTGCTTGTTCAGTAGTGGTTGCTTCTGCAGTTGTTGCTTGTTCAGTAGTGGTAGCTTGTTCAGTAGTTGTAGCTTCTGCAGTTGTTGCTTGTTCAGTGGTGGTTGCTTCAACTGTTGTTGCTTGTTCAGTAGTGGTAGCTTCAACAGTCGTTGCTTCTTCAGTGGTGGTAGCTTCTACTGTTGTTGCTTGTTCAGTGGTGGTAGCTTCTACAGTCGTTGCTTCTTCAGTGGTGGTAGCTTCTGCGGTCGTTGCTTGTTCAGTGGTGGTAGCTTCTGCAGTTGTTGCTTGTTCAGTAGTGGTAGCTTCTACAGTCGTTGCTTGTTCGGTAGTAGTAGCTTCAACAGTCGTTGCTTGTTCAGTAGTAGTTGCCTCTACTGTTGTTGCTTGTTCAGTAGTGGTGGCTTCTACTGTTGTTGCTTGTTCAGTGGTGGTGGCTTCCACAGTCGTTGCTTCTTCAGTAGTGGTAGCTTCTACGGTCGTTGCTTCTTCAGTAGTGGTAGCTTCTACAGTCGTTGCTTGTTCAGTGGTGGTAGCTTCTACAGTCGTTGCTTCTTCAGTAGTGGTAGCTTCTACAGTGGTGGTAGCTTCTACAGTGGTGGTAGCTTCCACAGTGGTGGTTGCTTCTTCTGTAGTGGTAGCTTCAACAGTCGTTGCTTGTTCGGTAGTGGTAGCTTCAACAGTCGTTGCTTGTTCAGTGGTGGTGGCTTCTATAGTCGTTGCTTGTTCAGTAGTGGTTGCTTCAACTGTTGTTGCTTGTTCAGTGGTGGTAGCTTCTACAGTCGTTGCTTCTTCAGTGGTGGTTGCTTCTACAGTGGTGGTTGCTTCTTCTGTAGTGGTAGCTTCAACAGTCGTTGCTTGTTCAGTAGTGGTAGCTTCTACAGTCGTTGCTTCTTCAGTGGTGGTAGCTTCTACTGTTGTTGCTTGTTCAGTGGTGGTAGCTTCTGCGGTCGTTGCTTGTTCAGTGGTGGTAGCTTCTACTGTTGTTGCTTGTTCAGTGGTGGTAGCTTCTGTGGTCGTTGCTTGTTCAGTGGTAGCTTCTGCAGTTGTTGCTTGTTCAGTAGTTGTAGCTTCTGCAGTTGTTGATTGTTCAGTAGTGGTAGCTTCTACAGTCGTTGCTTCTTCAGTGGTGGTAGCTTCCACAGTGGTGGTTGCTTCTACCGTGGTGGTTGCTTCTTCTGTAGTGGTAGCTTCTTCAGTCGTTGCTTGTTCGGTAGTAGTAGCTTCAACAGTCGTTGCTTGTTCGGTAGTCGTAGCTTCAACAGTCGTTGCTTGCTCAGTGGTGGTTGCTTCTACTGTTGTTACTTGTTCAGTGGTGGTAGCTTCTGCAGTTGTTGCTTGTTCAGTAGTTGTAGCTTCTGCAGTTGTTGATTGTTCAGTAGTGGTAGGTTCTACAGTCGTGGCTTCTTCAGTGGTGGTAGCTTCCACAGTGGTGGTTGCTTCTACCGTGGTGGTTGCTTCTTCTGTAGTGGTAGCTTCTTCAGTCGTTGCTTGTTCGGTAGTAGTAGCTTCAACAGTCGTTGCTTGTTCGGTAGTCGTAGCTTCAACAGTCGTTGCTTGCTCAGTGGTGGTTGCTTCTACTGTTGTTACTTGTTCAGTGGTGGTAACTTGTTCAGTGGTGGTAGCTTCTTCTGTTGTTGCTTGTTCAGTGGTGGTAGCTTCTACAGTGGTGGTTGCTTCTACTGTTGTTGCTTGTTCAGTGGTGGTAACTTCTGTGGTCGTTGCTTGTTCTGTGGTGGTAGCTTCTACGGTCGTTTCTTGTTCTGTGGTGGTAGCTTCGATGGTCGTTGCTTGTTCAGTAGTGGTAGCTTCTACAGTCGTTTCTTGTTGAGTTGTGGTTACTTCAGTCGTATCTGGTTCAAATGTGGTGGCTACAGTAGTTGTAATTGGTTCAGAGGTGGTAATTACAGTAGTCGTAGCTGGTTCAGATGTGGTGGCTACAGTAGTTGTAATTGGTTCAGAGGTGGTAATTACAGTAGTCGTAGCTGGTTCAGATGTGGTGACTATAGTAGTCGTAATTGGGTTAGTGGTGGTAGTTTCAGTCGTAATTGGTGGAGAAATGGTGACTACAGTAGTTGTAGTTTTTGTACAAGTGGTAGTAGTTTCAGTCGTAATTGGTGGAGGAATGGTGACTACAGTAGTTGTAGTTTTTGTACAAGTGGTAGTAACTTCAGTTTTTATGTGGGTAGGTTCTGAATGTTTTGTTGTTTTAGAACATTTAGTAGTAGTTTTATGTTCGGGATTCGGATGTCCAATAGGTTTAGGATTATTAGGATTTTTATGATTATCAGGATGTTCTATGAATTTATGATCATTAGGATTTTTAGAATTGTGTTTAAGAGGTTTGAAGTGTTTAGGATCTTCATGATGTTGTTTGTTTTCTTGATGATGCTCGATAGGTTTGTGTTGTTCGAAATGTTTAGAATCAGGATGATGCTCGATGGGTTTTGGTTTTGGTTGTTCGATATGTTTAGAATCTTGATGATGCTCGATGGGTTTTGGTTTTGGTTGTTCGATATGTTTAGAATCTTGATGATGCTCGATAGGTTTGGGTTGTGGTTTTGGTTGGGGTTTTGGTTGTTCGATATGTTTAAATTCTTGATGATGCTCTACGGGTTTGGGTTGGGGTTTTGGTTGTTCGATATGGCTAGATTCTTGATTATGCTCGATGGGTTTGGGTTGTTCGACATGTTTAGAATCTTTGTGGTATTTTATACGGTGAGAAGGTCTATTATGATAATAATGCTTATAATGATGGTAAATCGGGTGTTTATGTTTCTTGTGGTGTATATGGTGTTTATGGTGTTTATGGTGTTTTACGCCCCGTTTGTCGAGATTAGTTTGGTCTTCATGAGCGGTAGTTATGGTTAAGAATAAAAAGATAGTGATGGCGAGTAAAAAGGGAACGGAGCGAAGGGAAAACATATTGTATGGACTTAAAACCGAGTCTGTCGCAACAGTTTCAGTAACGAGATGAATTCTATTTATAATGAATACTCTTCATGTGGTACATTGATCTTTGTTTTTGGGAATTTAGTGTGTCAAACCAATTTTATTATCATATTTTAATTTATTTTCGTGGCTAAATTGGTTTGTTTGTAGTAGTTTAATATATTTTTTGAAATACATTTGGGATTTTAAATTTTTTGGATAAACAGTTCGAATTTATTAATTTAAAATCTTAATTCGTGTGACAAATAATTGTAAACAAATATTTGTGGCTCTCCTTTGTTGCTAGATAAAGAAATGAAAGATTTTATTGGTAACAGTGTATAGTCGTCACAGTAATTTCATCCTCATGAAATAACTTATTTTTATTGGTATTTGCAGGGTTAATAACATTGTATACTGTTATCTTCACGCAGATGACAATATATTAATAAAATTATTAATAAAATTATAAATTGTCATCCGTGTGATGTCTAATCGGAGAAATTACTTTGTACGACAATTGTCACATAAATGAATATGAGGGCACCGCTCCAGATTAGATCCAGCTGCAATATTTACATGCCATAGAAAATATTGTAGATTTGCTGATACTGCTTCGGCATTATTAAATTTCTGAAAGTTTTTATATCACATCAAAAACCAATTTCGAAATGCTTTGAAATGTCATAATAGTTCTTAAGTCATGTAAGTCATGTAAGTCATGTATAGGTGTACAAAGCTTTGTCAGAATGATATGATTACATTATGGAACTATATAAAGAAACTTCACTCGTCCTCTTTGTAAAATTCATATCCCAGATTTTTATGTATATTATCTAAATATACATCTTTTACTATGGTTCCGAGTCAAGTGCATTTAGGGATGTTGCTTTGTACCAATAACAAATTGGAAGTATAAATTTTACGACACAATGATCTGCATCCTTATTAAGTTAATGACTTTTTGGGTATGCACGAAAAAATTCTGCGCAGGTTGGTGGCGCAGCAAAATTTTTAAAGTTCATTAATGTTAGGGTTAGCGTCTAGAATAAAGTTAAAGACTGGATGTTTATATGCTAAATTGCTCAGTAAATACTTTTTGTTAGAGCACTAAAAATGGTTTTTTTATGCAGTTTTTGAGAAATAATCAATCTTTGACAAAACGACCATTTGTTTTTGAACTTTCTGAAATTTGATTTATAGAGTGCCGATCTGCGCCATAATGATCGGTATATTTATGCATAGTGTTTATAATGTACATACTTTGCATCAGATTAAAATTGTGCAGACCAAAATTTAAATGCAGTGCTTTATTAGGGCTAGGGCGGGTGCATACATTAGGTGTCAACTGAATTATAATAAATTTAAAACTACATATATTAATGGAAATTTGAAATCCTTGTCTAATAGACTAATACTCAGCCATGCCATCCTCATGGTCTGGAAAGAAACTTTTAAAGTTTCACCGAGTTATAAGTCGTAATAGTTATCTTTTGAGCAATTGAGTAGAGTACGTCTGTTACGCTACCGATACATCAGTTATATTTTCTCAATAAATTTTTCTCGTCCCAAATTTGCAACTTAGGTGCATTTGACTGAAATTGGGCCGAAATTAATTTTTGCATGCGTTAGTGGGTGAATTAGGTAGGTGTAACTTCAGACACGACATGCATGTTGTTCGTCAAAATTAAAGTCTGCGTCAGATTAACATTACTATAATATAGGCATCCACCATAATTATAATAAAATACCACATTTAAATTGAACCTAATGCACGAAACATAAATAATAAATTTTGCATGTTTTTTAGAAATGTAAAAGTATTGTTTATATTTAACGGTTTTTATTTTTTACAATGACACTCAGTTTTGATAAAATGCCATATATTGGTTGTAAATTTTCAAGGAGTCGACATTTGCAAATATAATCTTGCTTGTTTGAATTATGTCATGATCTAAAAATTCATCTGTACATACATATGAGATTTCGATTTTGCTTTTTTAACATTACACATTAATATTATTAGTCCACATTTAGTCTATCTGTAAGTTATCCAATTTTATTTTAAGTGTTACTCAATTTTAATTTAAAGGTTACCTTTTCTTATCTTAAAATTAAGGTATCATATAAATATTTATATATATTGTTATAGGCAAACCCGACCCTAGGACCCCGAACGTCGCACGAAAAGCCGTCGTATCACGATGCCGTGACCCAGAAGAATTGAACAACGATCCCCCTCATTGTATCCTGGTTCTCTCCCAACTATGTGACAGCACTGATCCTATAGAGAAGTCACCTGCAAGATTTGGTTTGATGCCTGTCAAGGCAGTAATATCTTATCACGAAAAGTATGTTGCTGTGTATGTATTTTGATATATGTTATGCTTGATTGTCACTGTTGGAGTTGTGAAACTTAATAAAAAAAATATTATTAGAATTAAGGTTGTGTTGTGAAAGGGGAAAAAATGTTAGTTAGAAATAGTAAAACATTTTACGTATACGTATGAATGAAAAAAATTTGTAAAAATCATATAAAGGTGTTTGAAAATCTTTTTTTTTCTTTTTATAAATTTTTTATAAATACAGATTGTGTTTTCTTTTATAAAAGAGTAATTGGTATAATTTATATATTTTTTGTTCTATATAATTAATTAATAAAAAAAAATACCTTCAATAATTATTAGGATCAATTATTAACAAAAATATTTATTTATCTATCTTACCTGAATCTTCTTTTATTGCTTTTCAATTATTGTTTTAAACTTGTATTAAATTGTTTCATTTTTACATATGTTATGAAACATTATGTAGCTTATTTTTTTTTCTAGTAGTAATTTGTTGCATTTTTATCTTTTTTTTGGAAGATGAGCTTCTATCATAATATTGTATTTTTGTTTTACTGGTCTAAAAATAATAAATTTTTTTTTTAGATTTAAAGAATGACATTTATGACTTGTGATCTTTATTAAGACTCACAGCTTACAAATATTGTAGAGGAATATTACATTTTTCATATCAGTGAGGTTACAATTAGCCACATGTACAACTTTAGTTATTGTTTATTTAAAGGTTCTGCTTACAGATTACCTACTAATTGCCATACCTAAAACTTGTCTGTAGGTTTTTTATTTAAAGTTTCTAATTTTCAATGTTTTCTGTAATATTAACTTAATTTTTTTAATAATAGACCTTAGAGATATTTTATTTTTGATGCAAATTCTACTGAATAGAAGTAGATCTTATAACTACACCTATTTAGATTTATGGTATTAGAAGTGATTTTATATTAGGTAAGATTAATTCTTTTTAAAACATTAATAATATTTTCTAAATTTCTTACTATAATAGTTTCTGTAACTGTCATACTGGTTTTCTTATAGGAATTTCTTAGATCAAATATGTACTTTTACTTGAACTTTACAAGAGTTTACATTTAATTATAGGTTTCATTTTTGGTTATAGAGTATTTTACTTTTAATTAGACTCAAATCATTGATCTTGTCTATGAGGAGATGAGAACTTAACAACTAAACTATAGGACCCAACACCTGTTTAAAAATAATAATATTTTATTTTGTTTATTTTTTAATTATTGATATTATCATTAAAAATTTTTGTTGTTAATTAAATATATATTATAAATTATAATTTTTTTAAATTTAGTAGTAACTGTTAATTTTTATTTACTTCTAGTGAGTAGAGATAAACTTCATACATATTTTTACAAAATTATTTTATTATTTAATCTAAGTATGTGAACTCAATACAGATTATTAATCTTTGTAACAGTCTCTAATAATATTTACATTTCTTGTTATACACCTTATATGCTATGATCAAGGCCAACACTTGTAATCAAAATTTCTAACACTTATAGATGATATCATTATTAAATTATTTTGCTTAGTAAGAAGATTTAGGCCTTATTGCTGCATCAATTTCAATATATCTCAATCTTAGTATTTTCAGCTAATACTAGTTCTTTACATTTCTTGCCATGTTATTTATAATAATTCTCAAATTGGTCATTTCAGTTTAATGAACTTTATAGTCTCTCATCTTTGGTTTGCTTGTTATTTATTCTCTTAAATTTTTTTTAACAATAGTTTAAAATTTGTTATAAATACATATTTAAGCCAAGATCTTGTTATCACTATTAATTTCTTAATTCAGATATTGGTAGTATATATCTTAAGTCAGGTACTTGCTGTTGCTATTCCTTCAAATACGTTGGTTCCTTTAATATAACATAACATTATTATTACACAAAATTAACTTATTGTTATGATTGTTAATAAAATAAGAATATTACCAGCGCTGGTTCATCGTCTGTACCAGATAGTACAATTACATTAGATTGATTTGAAATATCATTATTTCTTGAACTTGTGCTGAACGCATTGGTATCTGTATCGATAGCAATATTTAATTTTGAATCCATTATTTTTTTATAATTGGACAAAAAGTAGATTTGTGATTGACTTTTTCGTGTTATGTCATCAATATTTGCAATATTTCATAGTTAATTTATCATCCAATAAGTATTTATTGGTTACAAATTACATAACATATGTGTACGCATGATTACCGACAAGCACGTCTCATTTGATTATTATTATTTTTAATTGCTGTATCTCCTGTTCTAAATAACGAAAAAATTGATCTAACCTGTTTTTTTCACCATCCATCATTGCGATAATTATGGTTTGTATATAGTCTGGCCATTACCTATCATATAGTTTAAGCATTACTACATATAAATTTACTATTATTTATGACAACTTTGGTCTTTAAAGTTAGATTTAACCTAAAATGATCAATAATAGATTGATCGACTTGTATATCATTTAAGAATAAGCCGATAACACTACGTATGCAAATTAAACAAATAACAGTAACCTAAAATTTTTAATGTTACTAAAAATTTAAATATTCTACTAAGATATTTCGATTTAGTACAATATTACTAATATGGACTTTACGTTAAACAC